CGGGCCCGGGACACGCAACAGTTGGATGCGGCGCCGGCCCTAATGATGGCTGGCAGAGAGGCCTCCCCAGCTCCCGCCTGGGGTCCCCCCGCAGCGGGGGCGCCTGACACCCACCAGACGGACAGGACGGGAAGCCGCCTGCTGCGGGGCTGCCAGCAGAAGGGGGCGGCGGGAAGATGAAAGCCTGCTGCCCTAATTGCAACCGACAGCCCATTAGTAACGCCCCGGCAGCTTCCACATCAGGCTCTGCTTCTCCCGGCTCCCGGCTGGGCAAGGCCTGGGCAGATGGCTGTCTGCGGGGCCCATGGGAGGGTCTCCCTTGGCGGGCTGAGCCCGGGACGAGCGAAGATCCCGAAGGGGCAGAACCAAAGCCCGTCCAACATTAACGCCGCCCAACACCGCATGACCCCGAGCCCAGCCCTCTCTGGACCTCAGGTTGCGCTTCTGCAAATGGGGCAGAGCCCGACCGGCGTGGCTCAGGGGTTGAGCGTCGACCTAGGAACCAGGAGGTCATGGTTTGGTTCCCGGGCAGGGCACAGGTCTGGGTTGCTGGCTCCATCCCCAGTAGGTGGCGTGCGGGAGGCAGCCGATCCGTGATTCTCTCTCATCATTGCTGCTTTTATCTCTCCCCCTCTCCCTTCCTCTCTGAAATCAATAAAAATATTTTTTAAAGGGCAGAGTCTACCCCGTGGGCAGAGTTCCTCTCGTCCTATTGGGTAGCACTGTCCCGAGCCCAGGGCCTGGGTCATGGGCGCGCTGCTGGCCCGGATGGAGGACACAGAGGAGATGCCATCAGAACCAGGACCACAGCTGAACAGAGGCTCCCGACACACGGAGCTGCAGCCCAGGAATTGGGAGGGCCCCGCCCCCCACACCCCTGCAGACATGAGAACACACAAGTCATGCTCCTCTCAGTCACTCGGCGGTCCTCGCGCTACAAGTTGGGAGTTGGGGTGCACTATTCAGGCGCTGGGGAAAATTGGGGCCCATGAACAGTCCTGAGAGGGCCAAGGCGAGGTCAAGAGGGAGTGGGTGGTCCTCTGGGTCCCCCTCCTCCCTCCGACGAGCTTCTCAGCTTGTATCTGGGACACACCTTGGGCTTCGGGTAAAACCTCCGGCTTGTTTGAAGGTTCTGCCGATTCCAACACAGATACGATGTGACCGCTGCAGGTCTACCAGCCCCTGCTCCCTTCCTCCTAGCGCCCCCGGTTCCAGGAGGTCGGTCAGACCCCGCTCAGCACAACTAAGAGCTCAACCCCGTTCTACCCAGTTTCAGCGAAACGATGGACTTACAGAGTCTGACCCGGATCAGCCACCGGGATCTCCTGAAGCCGACTCCGCACTCCCGCTGGGAGGATGTAACCCCGGCCGCTCCCCAGGAAAGCACCTGTGGATGTCCGCACCGGCATAGGATGGGATAAATCGCATTCTGCCCCTAACCCAGAGGGAGGACCACTGGTCACAGACCCGGGGGACCACTCACCCATCCCTCTCCCTTCGCCCCCTCCCGCTGGCCCTGGCAGGACCAGGCAGGGTTCCAGCTCCTCCTTCGCTGCCCTGAACCTTTCGAGGGCCCAGAGAGGGAGCTCGTCACAGCTGGCCCCACCACCCTGCCTTCCTCCTAGAAGCACAGCTGGCCCACCACGGAGACCTCCTGGCATCTCGGCAGGGATGTGCCCGCATGAGGTTAGGCCTCCCGCTGTGCGTCCTCCCCGCGGGGGGCAGGAAGTCCGGCTCCCAGAGAGGCAGGGCCACAGAGCAGCACATGCTAGCGGCAGCTGCTCACCAACCCTCCTTTTCTAACCATTTTCTCTGCCTGGTGAACGCCTACTCATCCTGCAAAACCCATCTCCAAGTCACTCCTTTAAAACCTTTCTAGCTTTCCTTCTCCCTGGGTTCACATGCCACATCAGACACACCTGCCTTGGGTAGGTCTGAAATTAAATGACACTTTTTCCAGGAAGAGTAAACATCTGGAAATCAAAGGACCTCAGTGCAAATCCCTGCTCCCTTATTCACCAGCTGTGAGACCTTGGACATGTCATTTTGTTCTCTCTGAACCCCCAGTTCCCCATCAATAAATTGGGGGGGGGGGACTTATAAGGTAATATACATCAGGAGCCTATGATTATGTCCAACACATAGAGGCACTTAAGAGAAGTGAATTTCACTCCTTCTCTAACAGAATGTGAGCTTCTTAAGGGCAGGAACCAGCTTTCCATTCATTCATTCATTCATTCATTCAGCCATCATCACTGAGCTACTGTTAAGGAGCTAGGCCTGAGTCAGAAGCTGGGTTCTACAGCAGGTCCAGGTGCCCCTAAATCTCCCGGTTGCTCTTCCTCGCCCGTGGACCTCCAGCACCTGCTGTGACACTGTCCACACCCGTCCCAGGCAGGTGAGCCAAGGGCAGGTCTGCAAAGTTCAAGTGCAAGTGGCCTGGCCCCAGGAACTCCTAGTCTGAGAGCAGAGGGCACAGCCGCATTCCCCCCAATACTGTTGACTCTTAGTCTGGTGGGAAAGACACATGTACCGCTGGCCGTAGAGTTCCCTGTCTGATGGGGGAGACACGTGGCTCCTGCGCGTGGCCCGGCCTGTCACTGATGGGGTGAGATTGTTCCTGTCACAGGAGGGCACCGCCTCTGACGGGCGAGGCCGTCTGTGCCCACAGATAGCAAGCGCGTCAGATAAAACAACACGGATGGAAAAGAGAGATCAATCCCGGGGCCCTTTGAAAACCTCGCTGCGCAGTGTCTCTGTCTGTAGACGCGGAGGCGATATCCGTGGCTCTGCAGACGCACCGCAGGGCTGGACACAAATGACACAGCATCCGAGCCTCCAGCCCAGCCCCCTCGCCAGAGGATCCAAGCCAGCGCTGGCCCGAGGCCCCGTCCCTGGCATCGCCTGCCAGCCTTGCCAGGGGAGAGAGGCTTTCTCATGATCAGGGACATCTGGGCTGGCCGGGATCCCGGAGGCCACCGACATGAAAAGCGAGGGGCCCGGCGGAAACACCATCTGCACATCATAACGCAGCTCAGTTCCCGGAGGCCGCCTGCAGCTGCGGCCGGGCTGCCCGGGGACACGCAGAGGAAGACACCAAGCGGCCGGGAGGGGGACAGAGGGCAGAGCCAGGCTGGAGTCGTTCCCACTGACACTCCACGCACTTTGGAGATGAAAGCCACTGGGTTTGTCTCCCTGTCGCTGCTGGGTCCACAGGTTGCACCAGCCCCGAAGCTGACTGGGGGGCTTGAACGGTACACAGCTGTGCTCATGGGCTCAGATTCTAGAGCTGCGCGGCCTGGGTTCGAATCCCGGTCCCCTCCTTTGAGGAGCGGGTGGACTTCGCTGAGCCGGTTTTCAGACCTGCGCATTGGAGACGGTACGAAACCTATCCCCTACCATGGGACTACTGTGAGAGTTCAAAGAAGTAATACACACCTTGAGCCCTACACTTAAGATTTTTGCACATGTTATATACGTCGATAACATTTCATTATAAAAGAGGGCATGTGCAGCCCTAGCCGGTTTGGCTCAGTGGATAGAGAGTCGGCCTGCAGACTGAAAGGTCCCAGGTTCGATTCTGGTCAAGGGCATGTACCTTGGTTGCGGGCACATCCCCAGTAGGGGGTATGCAGGAGGCAGCTGGTCGATGTTTCTCTCATCGATGTTTCTAACTCTCTATCCCTCTCCCTTCCTCTCTGTAAAAATCAATTAAAAAAATATATTAAAAAGAAAAGGAGGGCATGTGCGTCCCCCACCTGATTTAAAGAGGTGCTCAGTCACTGTTGGCTCTTATCATCTTTGTTATCTCCCCTCCTAGAAGGCATCCTTCCTGAGGCTCTAGGACAGCCGTGGGCAAACTACGGCCCGCGGGCTGGATCCGGCCCATTTGAAATGAATAAAACTAAAAAAAAAAAAAGACCGTACCCTTTTATGTAATGATGTTTACTTTGACTTTATATTAGTTCACACAAACACTCCATCCATGCTTTGGTTCCGGCCCTCCGGTCCAGTTTAAGAACCCATTGTGGCCCTCGAGTCAAAAAGTGTGCCCACCCCTGCTCTAGGAGCTGGCACCTGCAGCGGGTAGAGCGATTGGGGATATTTTATTGGCCATCCTCTGCAAGGCCCGCCCCCAGCACCAAGGCCACAGCTGATTGGACAAGGTGTAGGACATGGCCAAAGCAAGCTCATGTATGGCGGTTGAGTAGACTGGGGATTGTGGACTGGTGATCACAGTGAGCCATGTAGAGCAAAGGAAGGAGGAGGAGGAAAAAGAGACGGGCAGAGAGGAAAAAGACACAGGGTTCCCAAGAGAAACAGAGAGAGAGAGAGAGAGAGAGATGAGAGAGGGAGCGGAGACCTCCGATCCCAGGCTTTTTCTTTCCCAGTAGACGAGGCTGAACGGTATCTCCTGCCCTTGGAGCCTATGAGATGAGTCCTGCCTGGAAGCAGCACACGCATGCACATGTGCACACATACCACACAGCACTCACATGCATCCTACCGACATCCACGCGCTCACTCCTTTCACTTTCTCTTTACAATTCCTCTCCCACATCTGAACACCTGTGCCTAGCACTATGCCTGGCACAAGAGAGGCACTCAACAAAACGGATGGAGGACAAAACTGATGGGGGGAGGGGGGCGGAGGGAGGCAGGTCCTTGTGCTTCCCCTTGCCCATAGGACCGAGGACTACAGTTTTATCTTTGTCTCAGCAGAATCTGAGCCCCAGCGACTTCGGAGGTTGTCAGCAGTGGGCACTGTGCGGGACTCGCTGCCCTCCAGCAAGCAGCGCCGAGGCCACGAGGGCAGAGGCAGCCCAGACCCCCACATGGGCAGCCGCCATCTGCTGCCTTTTGCTCACGCAGAGGCAGGCGGCTGGGGCAGCTCCCCCTGTGGCTGTGAGCAACCCTGGAAGCTGCCTTGTCAACAGGCTGTCACAGCGAATCACCTCGGGCCGCTGCATCCCCAGAGCTGCCCAGGGAGCCAGCCTCGGCCCCCAGCACGCACACGCTGGCGCCAGGTTGGCCGGTCCATGCTGCCAGACTGGGGCACCTGTTACAGCCACCGGGGCCTGGGCTCTGGAAATGCCACCTCTCCCCCCACCCCCACCCCGGGGACACAGGGCAGGCACCCCAGAGTACCCTCCCCCACTCCCTCCTGCTCCTTCACACTCCGCTCCTCCCTTCTCTGGCCCTCGTGACAACCACACAGGCCGCGCAGGGCTGGTTCTGCCCATTCCCCAGAGGGGAAAACTGAGGTTCAGACAAAGACAAGAAGAAAGTCGCCCAAGAACAACTGGCCTTGGGGTGCCTCGCCCAGTAGGGCTCTGTGGAGCCCAGAAGGGCAGAGGTGAGCGTCTCGGGCCCCTGATGTTCACGGCCTTTAGTCTGCCTGGGCCACGGGGTCAGCCACCAGGAAACCTCTTCCCTCTGTCAGCCATGAGGGGATAGCTGTGAGGGGTCCCCGCCGGGCTCCCCCAGAACTTCCCTGTCGGCCAGGTGCCCAGCACATCAGCGGTGCTGCGAGCTCCTCCATTGGGGCGCTGAGGTCCGCAGGTGCAGCGGGCTGGGAGCCTGATCAGGGTCAGGAGTGTGGCCGGCCCCTGCCTCGCCCCCGGGCCTCTCCTGAGAGGCCTGGGCCTGAGAGAGCGGCCAGAGGCCATTTCCTGGGAGCGCCACACACCCCAGGGTGGTGGGGGGCAGCCTTCCCCAGCGGCTCTCTCTTCCACCTCCTCCTCCTCCGACTCTTCAGGAGGCCACCTGTCACTTCCTGTCTCCGTCCCCAACCAAAAGGACCCTCAGGAGAGAAGGAATCCCTAACAAAACAGTAGCAATTATTCATTCCTTCACCCAACACGTATTTCCAAGCGACTGTGCTGAGCCCAGCGTGGCTGGAGGATGCCCGGTTCCTTGCAAACCGGCACCATTGCAGCCGCAAGCCAAGAGGGCGACAGAGGTGGCCAGCAAGACAGAAGTCGCACTCTCGGGTAATGGAACCCCAAAGCGACAGCTCCTCACCTTTGCCACGTTCTGTTGGTAGGAGCAGGTCTCTAGCACATAAATCCCAGGAGGCAGGAACCCGGGGGGGTCCTTGTAGCGTCGGACCCACACAGCGAGGTCCGGTTAAGCTGGCACGCTGTGTGCCTGTGATGTGCCACCAGACCCTCTTCCTCCATCCCAGGGTCGTGGGAGGGAAGAAAAAGGCACAGAGTAAGCTAGCGCCAGGGGCACCGCAGGGGTCACTGCGGGCTGTGGGTGCCAAGGGAACAAGACCAGACCCTGCCCTGGGGGAACAGACAGGTACACTCATGGGTTCGGCCTGGAGCAAGGCATGCCACCACGGAGGCCTGACCCACGGGGCAGTGGGCGTAGCGGTTCTCCTTAGAGCAGCGGTTCTCAATCTGTGGGTCACGACCCTTTCACAGGGGTCGCCTAAGACCATCCTGCAGATCAGATATTTACATGACGATTCATAACAGTAGCAACATGACAGTTAGGAAGTAGCAACGAAAATAATTTTATGGTTGGGTCAAAAGACGAGGAACTATATTTAAAGGGCCAGAAGGTTGAGAACCACTGCCTTAGAGCGAAAAGGGTTAAAGCCAATGGTGGGAACCAAGCTTCACCCCATCCTTGGAGGCCTTTCCATATCAGCACCTGCGATTTTTACTATTAGAATTGCTAGGTCGCCAGAGGAACGCACAAGGCCAGAGTGGTGAGGGATTACGAATTTATTCGATCATCCGCACACCAGGTGGCTGAGCCTGGATGGCTCCAGCACCCAGTGAGGGGAGTCAGCGGCTTTTAATGGACTTTTGGCGGGATTTTTTCTGGGCGGAGACTTCTTTATGCAGACCTGGAGGGGAGAGAACGGAATGTGGTCACCACAAGTAAAAAGTGGTCTTACGCAAAGGGAATGTCCATAGTGAAATGACCTGGAAAGCCAGTTCTCGGGGGAAGGGTATCAACTCAATTGCTCCATCAAACCTAAGAGTCCCTCCGTTACCAGTAAGCTGGCTGTGCTGGATCTGGCAGCAGTACAGGGCTCCATAAACACTGTGCAATGGGGACAGGAGAAGGGGAAGTGGGATAGGACGGAAGGAGGAAGGGCGATGAAGAGAAAAGGCAGAGGAAGAAAGAGTGGAGGGAGGAAAGAGAAAAGGGGAGGAAGGAGGACAGAGACAGGAGGCAAGAGAGAGAGAAAGGAAGGAAAATATGCAGCGAGGGAAAGAAAAAGACAGAGAAACAGATTTGGAGGGAGAGAGAGACAAGAGAGGGACAGAGAATGGAGAGGGGAGAGAGGAGGGAGAGTGACACAAGAAAGGGAAGATTCAGGGCAGGGGCCCCGCCCCCAGCCAGGACTCGCCCCCCGGC